AAGCACTTACCCCCTTTCTACAGATTGACCAAAAATAATTTCAGATAGTTACGGACTTTAAGACGCGTTTACCTTCATAATACCGAATAATTAGTTAGATACTCCAGCATCTTGATGCATGCGAATATAGATGCTGATTATCACATTGGAGAAATCTCGGCTTGCTACCTATATAACCAGAACGAAGCTATAATGCCCCCGTGTAAATATCTGTCCACAAATACAAGATTCATAAAAGTCTCAACCAATGATAACCGAATACATCTCAAGCATAGCATGAAGCAAATGACTCACTTACATGGTCGGAAATGTAGCTCGGAAATATGTCAGACCAAATGTCTGTACTAAATATTTTGCAACAAAAAAATTAATCCACTGAATGTTTATGTTTTAGATTTACTTGAACCAAATAATTATGAAGGCTGAATAAATCCACTCAAGCGCTGCCAAAAATTTTCTCAAGTTTCAAGTTATTTGAAATTCAAAATCAAATCAGTCCTTCTGCTAAGAAATTTCCCTCCTCCTCCAACTCCCATATAAAATATATACAGCCAACAGTCTCTGGAAACTAAAGAATAGTGTAACAGCAATGAAGACTGGTAGCCCGTTTTGACCAGTCGAATACTCCGTCTAGAGCTATTTTTAGGGATATGTCAGTCACAAGCCCGGAAAAAGGAGTAGAGTGGGACATAATTTCCTCAGTACCGTCCCGTAGTAAACCAACTTGCTAAAAAATATCAACCAGAACAGGTAATACAAGCCATCCAAACTCTGTATTTAGAAAAGCAATGATGCCTCATAGTGAGAACCTGAGAAGATCGAGGCTGGCGAGGAAAATTGTGTTATGCAAATTTACACTCTGAGTTAGTTAAAAACGAAAACATTACATTGAATACTCCATTTGCATACCATCTTTGAGTCGTGACTTCCAACGCTCCATCCTTCTTCCATTCCTGTTGTTGCTACCTTTACTTCCTGTTGGTACTCCATTCACTTCTTGCTTTTGCTCCATTTACTTTCCATTTTCCTCTTCTGACCGTGAGACTTCTTCTTTTACGTCCCTTCTTATATTACTCATATCGTTCGTATAAGTAGCACACACCAAAACCGAGTTTCTTCGGAAATCATGAAGCCAATGTCCATTCTAGCCTCAGCAGAGATGCTGTTATACTCCGGCTCAAAGAAAGAAATGTCTCACATGCACGAGAAGTTGCACTGCACAGAGAAGCATAAAAAGCACTGGTGGGATGGGAATGTCATGGACTCGGTATCATCAAAGGATCCTTCAAAATGAAGAAAGATAGCATCACAATGAACGTCGTCCAGTGCTATGCACCTACCAGCGATAACAATGAGGATGTTGAAGATAGATTCTGTGAGTGGCTGTTATTAGTCGTCGAGAAATGCCTAATGAAGGACTCGATCAGTTTGATGGAAGTCTGGAATGGACAACACTGGCTATGAAGTCATGGCCTGGGAAAAAGAAACGAAAATGGTGAGAGATTTGAAAACCCAAGTGCCTTCAACAAACAGGCTGTCGGTAGCACCATATTCCCACACAAGTTCACACACAAAGCCACATGGGTTTCACTGAATCACACTGCACAGGACCGAATCGACCACATCTGCGTTAATCGAAAGTTCAGAAGAACTACGGAGGATATGGAAACCGAAAATGGTGGTAGGACAAATAAAACTGAAACTGAAGAAGCGCTGGACAACTGTGCGAACAGCATCACAGTAGCTAATTGCCGCTTTTATTCCAGACGAAACCATAGATAACCATGCGATACTACGGGGATGTTTGCTGGAAAATATCGTAAACTGGAAAGGAAGGCAAGTAATTGAATAAGCGGAGACTAAAGGAAATAGCACTAGCAGGGCAATTGTATAGATCGACCCCACCGAACACACCGAAAATCAAAACAGCACCAAAGGAAATTCAAGTGTGTTTTGACCCATCAACAACAGAAAGGATTGGAATGGCCGTCAGACATATTAGGAGCGATCAAGCGGCTGGACCAGATAATATTTCTACCGAGTCATGAAAAAAAGACACAACCGTAAATACACTGATTCCTCACCTTCTCCCCAAAATGTTGATATTTATAAGTTATACATACCATTTTTTCTATTTCATTGATTATTTTGAACGTTTCTCATACTTAACTTAACACTGTAATTATTAATTATCTCCCTCCTTGCTTTCAGTCTTAAGTGAAGATCGGTGTCACACAAGGTCGTTTACGCCCATACTTTCTCTTCCTTATGGTGGTTGACTGGATTATGAAGACGTCAATATGTGAGGGGAAGCATGGAATAGAGTGAACAGCTCGGATGCAGATGGATGGTTTGGACTTTATAGCTGGTCTGGCTGTTCTACCCCACACTAAACAAAAAATGCAGGAGATGGCCTGTGTAGCAGCAGTCTCTAACAGTAGCAGGTCTCGACATACACAACGGAAAAATCAAGATCCTCCGATACGATACAACATATACCAACCAAATCACACTCCACATAGTAGCTCTGGAATATATGGAAACTTTTGTCTACCTGGGCAGCAGCATCACTCACAAACAAGGAGGGTCTGATGCATATGCGAAGATACAGCAAAGCAAGGACAGCATTCACACAACTGAAGAACATATAAAACGTTAAACAACTGTCAACCACAAATAAGTCACAATTTTCAATACAAACATCAAGAAAGTTCTATTGTATAGAGGGGAAAATTGGAGAACCACGAAAGCCATCATCTATAAGACACAAGTGTTTAGTCACAGTTGTCTATACAAGATAGTGAGGATCTGTAGACCAGACGCCATCAACAACAACCTACTGAGGGAGAGACCGAATCTGACTACATATTAGGTAGAAACTGGGGAAAAGCGTCTAAAATTGGTAAGATTCATTAAGTAAATCTGCACGTAGCATCACGAGGCATGTCCCGACTAGATATTCTCAAGACCGAAGGAAAAGAATTAGACCAAGGAACAAACTCACCGGCGATTGAAAAGAGATGTGGAAAGAAAAAATAAAAAGTGGTTGGAAATGAAAACGAAGGCCGATTATTGAGTTCTTTTGAAGATTCTTTTCTGTGGCCTGTGTTCCATTAGAGGTAACAAGCGTAAGTAAGTAAATAGCGACTTATTTAACCATATTAACCAAAGAGTCCGGAAAAGAGCCATTAAATTCAGTTACATTTCTAAGGAGGCCAGATGTACTCAACTTCACTAAAATAATGCCAACTCGACGAATAACACATGACTTAATGTGGTAAATACAGGCAAGACTAACTTCATAGGAAGCCACAAAGCATTTGAAAGTGTTGTCATGTGTTAAACCATGTTCAACCATCTATAGAACATAACGTATCGTACCGAGGTCGACAGAATTTGTGACAGGAATTTCAAACGGAACCATCTTAGGTCCACATCTCTTCCTGATACTTAGTAATGAATGTTTAGATAAAAATGAGCTCAGTAGCATTATTCTCTGCAGATATCTGGAGGTACATAAGAAGAGCTAAGGATTCATTTGAGCTTCGAAACGCCCAAGATCACTAGGGAATGGGCAGCGAACGAGTTAAGATTCACCTAGTCGAAATGTCATATCATGAACACTCTGCCCCACGCGACACAGTAAACTTACGTATTTGAAGGGTAGTCTACTCTCAAATGTCTCCTCAGAATTCAATGCCGGTCTAATAAACAGAACATAAAAACCACTCTCTTTAGAACATACGCTTGGGCACACCTTAAACTTCATAATGTCTTCACACATCCTCTCCTTAAAAGAGACATAAACCTGCTGGATTAAGTGCAGAGACGAGCAACTAAATGGGTGACCAGGTTAAATAATAAATATTACGAAGACAGACCCCAGCACTCGGAATTGATACCGCCGAGTTATAGGAGGTGATCTAATTATGGGATACGGTATCTTAGGTAAAGCAAATCATTCCAACACTAGTATCTTACAAAAACATTACCACCACGCCTTTCAAGTTAGCATTCGAAAAATTGCACACCAAAAAGCAAACACTCAAGTGCACACCAAAACTTTCTGATTAAGAGTTTTTCATACTTGAGATGCCTTCTCAACAGAAATGACTGCTGTCACCTAAGTGGGTAGCTTCGAGAGGAGACTTGACATACAAGAAGTCACAAGTGGATTATTATCTCTAAACTGTCATTATTGTCATTTCCTGAAATCAATGACTTATTCTAATTCCCTAATAATCTGTTTTTTCCTCTCAGTCCTGTCGCACATTCTTCACTACTAACCGATTACGTTATTCGTTTACTTACCTAGCTCTCCAATTTTCTCATTAGCATAAGAATTTTGACTACACTATCGCTAGAATTTAAAATAACCGATCTCTGGCCTAGTAATATGATAGCTACTGGTGCCAAGAAACACTGTTGCCTTGAGACAAACGCACTCAATTAAATCACGGAACATATGAATTCATGAAGAATTGCCAACCGACTAAAATTAGTGCAATTGAATGGTTAGACTATTATCCGCTGGAAATTAGACGATATTTGGAGCTGCACTGAAAAGGATTCAACTGAGCTTCGAAAGGACCTTACATCTATGGAGGAATGGGCAGTGAAAAACGGTGTAAAACCAAACCAGTCACTTTATGCCCCACGTGACACAAATGAATTTGTTCTGAAATCTCCTAATGAATATTAGACTCTTCTCCCTATTACTCTCCACATTGCAACTAAACGATCTTTGGCCTGTTTACATGATAGCTGCTGGTATCCAGAAACCCTACTACCTTGAAAAAAACTTATTTTTCCAAAGCATGGGACATACAAACTCACAAACAACTGCCAACTGACTAGAATTAAGCGGTCAAGTGGCTAGAGCATTATCAGTCGGACACAATCAAATACCTGGAACTGTACTGAAAGAACAAGAATCGAAAGGAAAGAAATCAATCCGTTTAACTAGCCCCTGTAAAAGATATTGGATTTTGAGACACCAGCAGTCATACAAACTACAAGGTCGTCTCGGGTTTATGAGCGATATTGGGTTCCTTTATTCTAGTCAGTGTACCATTAGGAATTCGACAATAACTCTCCAAAATGATAACCAATCAACAGACTCCCAAATAAATAAACATAGTCAATTCGAAAGGAATATCCTATACCTCTATGATTCCTAATTTTTACTACCTCCTAATCTCGACTTTTGGGGAATTCCGGGGTTTTCCTCAAAGTCATGTGAAAATTCTTAGTTTTTTATTAAACCAGGAAATTTTCTGCGTCTACAGTCGTCTCCTCGAAATTTACTTTTTTTCAACCGCCCCCTGAAAGTTGATATAATTTCCACAAAGGTGGGAGTTTAGTCTTTTCTTTGCCGGTGATGTTAATCAATCGTTGTACCCATTAAGAAACCTGCTATTCTATGATCTCTACTATTAACTGAAGAGGACTTGTGGATTAGACATTCCAGATTCATCTGGATTTTAGTATAGTACCTTCAAAACAATTAATTAACTATTCTCCTTTAGTTATTTTCTGATAGATAAGATGTCAGGTGTATGTAAGGCATCCAGGAATGTTATCTTCATAAAGATATTTTATGCAGCTTTTTTTGCTTTTTCTGGATAAGTTCCTGATGAAGAGCATACAATGGATGCTGTCAGTTAATGATGTTTGCTATGTTCCAAAGATTTCATGTGATGAAGGCCTACTACCTCATCAATGAATTCACCGTCTATACCTAGTGCCATATCCTTTAATTTAGTATGGCTTACTCTGGTATCAAAATATGAAACAATGCGTCAGTCGAACGCTAGTAACCTACGAATATAATCTATTCCCAATATCCATGTTTCGCACCTAAGAAGTAAACTGAAGCACAGTGCTATGCAGTTCTAAAGTATGCTTCAGGTTCGCCCGTACGAATTGAAAAAAATGCATCTATTTGTTCTTTAAATCAGTCTAAAATCTCGCAACACGTCTGTTTATTTCTCTCCGTATAGCAAAAATGAGAATTAGTTATTGGCATTTCATGAGTATAACAAAGCATTAACAACCATCAATGCAACTTTAGAGACCCCACCAAATATAACAGCCTGTCCGAATGGTATGGTTTTTATACTCTAACTGAGGTAGTCTTGGGATTCAGGACTGTGAAGTTGAAATGCAGTCATTCCCAGTTTAGCTCACTCAATGACCCAAGGCAGTCTAATAGACTTGTCAGCAATATACTAAAGCAGATCCACTATGGCTGGTGCGGTTTCTTTCAATGTGACCTACATCCTCGATTATTTTATTTCCTGTTCTTAATTTATCATATTCACGTTAGCCATGAGGCATCACCTTTCAATGAGTAGGTGCAAAATGACCCATTTTGGGCTTTGGTATTTACCCTTTATTCTGTCTCGTTCCTTTCCTACTATTTCCTCTGTATTAGGTCTTCCTCGGATTATTAGTTAGCAGGTAGGGATAAGAAAGACAAAAATCGGTCTCGTTCATGGTCGTAGAAGTTGGGGTTAGAGATTATTAGCTAAGGCTGCAGATGTTCCGTTTCACTAGCAAGCTGCGATTGGTCCCATGGGATTTGTACTTGCATAATAAGTCTAGAACTTCTGGTCTAAAGCCATTGATTGGGGACTAGTTAAACAAATGTACTTCTTTCTAGTAGATATTAATCAATAAGCTGTAGTTCCGTTCTTCTAACAGAATTCTCTGGTCATCTAATGACTGACTGTTCAGTATTTTGAAAATTGCGGCTCATTTCGAGGCCTGTCTTCGGTATATCTATTTACTTACTTACTTACTTTCGCCTGTTACCCCAAATGGAGCATAGGCCGCCCACCAGTTTTCTCCAACCAACTCTGTCCTGGGCTTCTCTCTCCAGTTCTGTCCAATGTTTGTTCATTCCTCTCATATCTTTCTCTATTTCTCGGCGTAGTGTGTTCCTTGGCCTTCCTCTTTTCCTTTTGCCTTGAGGGTTCCATGTGAGGGCTTGTCTTGTGATGCAGTTAGGTGCTTTTCGTAGTGTGTGTCCTATCCACTTCCACCGCTTCTTCCTGATTTCCTCCTCCACTGGAATCTGGTTTGTTCTCTCCCACAGTTCGTTGTTGTTGATCGTGTCTGGCCAACGAATACGAAGTATTTTGCGTAGACAGCTGTTAATAAACACTTGTATCCTCTGGATGATGGCTTTGGTAGTTCTCCAAGTTTCCGCTCCATACAGTAGAACTGTCTTCACATTTGTATTGAAAATCCTTATTTTGGTGTTGATTGATATCTGTTTGGAGTTCCAGATATTTTTCAACTGTAGAAATGCAGCCCTTGCTTTGCCTATCCGTGCCCTCACATCTGCATCGGATCCACCTTGATTGTCGATGATGCTGCCCAGATATGTAAAGGTGTTAATGTCCTCCAAGGCATCTCCATCAAGAGTGATTTGATTGGTGCATGTTGTGTTGCATCGGAGAACTTTGCTCTTTCCTTTATGTATGTTGAGACCTACTGCTGCAGAGGCTGCTGCTACACTGGTCGTCTTCTCTTGCATTTGTTGTTGAGTGTGCGATAGAAGAGCCAAGTCATCTGCGAAGTCCAGATCGTCCAGCTGCGTCCTAACTGTCCAGTTGATACCGTGCTTCCCCCCAGATGTTGACGTTTTCATAATCCAGTCGATGACCAGGAGAAAGAGAAAGGGTGAGAGTAAGCAACCTTGCCTCACACCGGTCTTCACCTCGAAAGAGTCGGTTAGCTGTCCTCCGTGCACGATTTTGCAGTTGAATCCATCATAAGAATTCCGTATGATGTTAATTATTTTCTCAGGCACCCCGCAGTGTCGAAGAAGCCACCACAGTGTTGTCCTGTCCACGCTATCAAATGCTTTCTCGAAGTCGATGAAGTTGATGTAGAGTGGTGAGTTCCATTCAATTGATTGTTCCACAATGATCCGTAATGTAGCAATTTGGTCAGTACACGATCGATCCTTACGAAATCCGGCCTGTTGATCTCGAAGTTGGGCGTCTACGAAGTCCTTCATTCTGTTTAACAATACCCTGTTGAAGACTTTGCCTGGTATTGAAAGAAGAGTGATGCCTCTGTAGTTCTCACACTTGCTCAGATCGCCTTTCTTTGGTATTTTGATCAGGTATCCTTCTTTCCAATCTGATGGTACTTGTTCCTCATCCCAAATCTTCTTGAAGAGAATGTGAAATATTTTCGCAGTTGCTTCCACATCTGCTTTCATTGCCTCTGCTGGAATGTTGTCTGGTCCTGCTGCTTTGCCGTTCTTGATTTGTCTGATGGCCATACTGATCTCCTCAATCGTAGGTGCTCCAATATTAATTGGGAGATCCGTGGATGCTGCTTCGATGTTGGGTGTGTTCAGTGGAGCTGGTCGATTTAGGAGTTCCTTAAAGTGCTCTACCCACCTATTTCGCTGTTGTTCAGTGTTGCTGATTACTTTGCCTTCCTTGCTTTTCACTGGTCGTTCTGGTTTACGATAGTTCCCGGCGAGCTTCTTTGTAGTTTCATACAATTGTCTCAAGTTTCCGTCTCTTGCAGCCTTTTCCGCCGTCGTTGCTAGATCTTCCACGTATTTTCGTTTGTCAGCTCTGATGCTCTTCTTCACTTCCCTGTTTGCTTCTGTGTATGCAGCTTGTGCGGTAACTTTCTCCGCTCTTGTTCGGCTGACATTGATTGCTGCTTTCTTGTTCCTCCTTTCTTCAATTTTTGCGAGAGTATCAACAGAGATCCATTCCTTGTGATGCTGCTTCTTGCGACCAAGGACCTCCTGACATGTTGAAGTGATTGCCTCCTTAATCCCTTTCCAATTGTTCTCCAATGTTGTGTCCTCTCCATTGAGTAGATCTTGAAAGGCCTGGAACCTATTGGTGAGGGCTATCCTGAATTCGTTGAGCTTTACAGTATCCCGAAGAAAGGCCGTATTAAACTTGTGTGATGTTGTCTGTCCCGTTGTCCAGTGCTTCTTTAGTTTCAGTTTCATTTTGGCGATTAGCAAATGGTGATCTGAGGCTACATCAGCTCCTCTCCTGGTTCTCACATCCTCCATAGTCCTTCTGAACGTTTTGTTGATACAGATATGATCAATCTGGTTTTGAGTAGTGTGATCCGGTGAAATCCATGTAGCTTTGTGTATGCGTTTGTGCGGGAATATTGTGCCACCGATTACCAGTTTGTTGAAGGCACATAGGTTTGCAAATCTCTCACCGTTTTCGTTTCTTTCTCCCAGTCCATGTCGTCCCATGATGTCTTCATATCCAGTGTTGTCCATGCCAACCTTGGCATTCAGGTCTCCCATAAGAATCGTCAAATCCTTTGGTGAACATTTCTCGACGATTGACTGCAGCCTTTCGTAGAATTGATCTTTAACGTCGTCATTGTAGTCGTTGGTAGGTGCATAACATTGGATGACGTTCATTGTAATGTCCTCTTTCTTTGTTTTGAAGGATGCTTTAATGATCCTGGGTCCATGAGATTCCCATCCTATTAGTGCCTTTTGTGCATGTTTGGACAGCATCAATGCAACTCCTTGTGTATGTGAAGCATTTTCCTCTTCATGACCAGAGTATAACAGCAGTTCCCCTGAAGCTAGTCTCAGTTGTCCTACTTGTGTCCAATGTGTTTCACTGATTCCAAGCACCTCGAGGTTGTATCTTTTCATTTCTGCCGCAACTTGAAATAGTCTTCCAGTCTCCCACAATGTACGAACGTTCCATGTACCTAAAAAAATGGTTGCTCTGGTTGTCAGAAGAGGCATCAGCCCCGTGACTTCCGAGGGAACTCGGCTTTCATCACGAGACGTCATAATTCTTCTTCCAACTCCCAGGGCAGAGTTAAAATGGTTTGAATTATTTTTTCTGGTTAGCGTTTTTTTGGCAAGTTAGTTTTTGACGGAATGGGGTCGCCAACCCCATGTCCAACCCTCCTCCTTTACCCGGGCTTGGGACCGGCAGTAGCCCCTAAGGTTCTACTGGCGGAGTTGTATATCTATTACTAGAAATATTTTACTTGCTCCTCATAAGTGGAAGTATGATCGTTGAATCGACACGTTTTTTACTGTTATGGCCTTAAAGAAGTTATTGCTAAATCTAAAAACTTGTTATTCAAACCTCATGCTTCACACTATGAAATATTTTCAAACATACTACACTCATAAGTCAAGCTAGTTTCAGGAGAAAACGAACAAGAAACGATGAAATCACTCACCTCGTTAACTGTTCAAGTGAAGTAAAGCACCTTCCCTTCTCTCGCTATGGATATTGAATGGTGTTAGCCGACATATCTTTTATACAGCATATTGTTTAACAGAACAGAATCCTAAGCATTTCTGAAAATGTTTACAGTAGCAATAGTAAAAAGCTTGAGAAGAGACAGAAAACAATTGCCGATAGCTATGATATTTTGAAGTTTATATTTGTTTGCTGATCATCCGAGTTTTATCAAAAAGTTTTGGCCTAACACGACTATCAGCATTCATGACAGGTCATGCCCTAATCGGCATCGGGCATCATTTATGACAATGATGTACTAGGTTCGCATATAATCCTCCCACGGGATTGACTATACTCTTGGTTGAAGTAGGTAAAAAGTGCTTTAGATGTAATTATGTGCTTAAAAGCCAGATTTTTTGACCTCCGAACTACAGCCACTCAATGAGGTATCAGTCGCTCAACGTGCTCTTCCATACATTTGTAATTCAACCTAGTTTTGCAGGCTTTCTTTTACAAATAATCAACTCAGAATTTCTATCGATAATATTTCTCTCACCTGTTACTCCTGTTACTCCAATGTTTAGCCTTTCGCCACATTCTCGAAGATTGTTACTTCTCGTCCATCTTAAATTAATACAAACTTTTTACTAACAATGACCTATGACCCTCGTAGTCTCACACCTGACGCATGGATTAGAAGATGGGATGCCAATGAAACTGGATGGCATATAAATTTTGTTCATAGGTACGTTTATGTACAGAAGTGTTTTTTTCGTATAAACTAATATTAGATTTTAGTCTTCAATAAAATTTATTTGTAGTTTATTTATAAGATACTATGCAAGTGTTAGGAAAGAGCAAAATATATGACTGTAATTTAGTTGCAATCGTTAATTTAAGCCGTTTAATCTACTGTTATTAAAAATTCCGTACGTGCGTTTAGCCATTAGTAAACGCCGACTATTAACCAGTTCGATGTATTCATATTTATCTGTTGACCAGATAAGTAAATGACATAATTTAGTGTGTTTTAATATAGTTGTTGAGCCACTGGTAAAGTCATTGTTAGTACCTGCAGTGGATGCGTTTGTGTTGTACAATAAATTCTCATTTGAAGTCTTTCTTTCTATCCATCAAGCCGTATTGCTCTTTGTTTAGTTATACTGTAGCAAGAAACTAGTTGTATATGGAGTCGTAACAACTAGCAATATCTGAATCTCACTATCAGTTCATTGAGTAATTCAGAGAACTTTGTTTGTTTATTGGAGAAATAGGAAAAGTTATATGTATCATGAGTTTTAAATTTTTTGTCAAGTAGCAAACTAGTATGTTTTATGAGATCAATAAAGCGTATGGTGAGTGGTCGTTCAACAAATCTCTCTGGCTTGTAAAAGATTTATTCTTTTTCAATCGGAATGAGTATTAAGTAACAGTTTGCTTCTAAGTGCAAGTGATTAAAGTAGGATCATTTTCCAAAAATGTAACGATTAGAATCTGATGCTGGTTGACGATAATCGCAACTGAAGATAAAATAAATAAATAAATACATATGACAGTGTAGTCCTCAACACGTACAATGGATTTCCCTAGGACCAGAAATATCATGTAGACTATGAGAGACCAACGACGTTCATGATCCAAGTAAAATTAACCTAAATCGTCATCGAGTTCAATTTTGTATACTTACTTACGCCTGTTACCCCTGATGGAGCATAGGTTGCCGACCAGCGGATCATTTTTCTAGTTATCGTCGTTTCAGCGAGTTGAATTTCTACGGGATGGGGTCACTAACCTCATGCCCAACCCTCCTCCTTTATCCGGGCTTGAGACCGGCAGTAACCTCAGAAGGGCTTCAAGCGGAATTGATTTTGTCTACTAAGCATTATAAATTCCAGTTATTACACAAAATTGAGGTCCCTTGAATCTCGTTTTACTTACGCAGCTGTGTATGACTCATTACTTATCATTAAATCTCAAACGACCATTGTTTACATAGCGGCTAATCGCTGCAAATATTTATGCCACTCTAAAAGGATGCATATCATATCAGTTCCTCAAAGAATAGAATTGATGAAATAAAACGCCTGTCACCCTCTAGGAGTGAAGGTTATCGACCAGAATTCCCTACCTAGCTCAGTCTCGGGCTCTCCTCAGTTTTTTCCAAATTCTATTCATTCTTCGGATGTCTGCATGTTTCCCGGCGAAATGTACTTTTTAGTCATCCTCCTCTCTTTTGGCCTTGTGACTCAGTTTGTTTATTTCTACAATGCATGTCTTATCCACCTCCAGCGTTTTTTCCTCAGATGGAAGTTAGTTTGTTGTTGATGGCGTCTGGTCTACAGATCCTCACTATCTTGTATAGACAACTGTGACTAAACACTTGTGTCTTATAGATGATGGCTTTCGTGGTTCTCCAATTTTCCCCTCTATACAATAGAACTTTCTTGATGTTTGTATTGAAAATTGTGACTTATTTGTGGTTGACAGTTGTTTAACGTTTTATATGTTCTTCAGTTGTGTGAATGCTGTCCTTGCTTTGCTGTATCTTCGCATATGCATCAGACCCTCCTTGTTTGTGAGTGATGCTGCTGCCCAGGTAGACAAAAGTTTCCATATATTCCAGAGCTACTATGTGGAGTGTGATTTGGTTGGTATATGTTGTATCGTATCGGAGGATCTTGATTTTTCCGTTGTGTATGTCGAGACCTGCTACTGTTAGAGACTGCTGCTACACAGGCCATCTCCTGCATTTTTTGTTTAGTGTGGGGTAGAACAGCCAGACCAGCTATAAAGTCCAAACCATCCATCTGCATCCGAGCTGTTCACTCTATTCCATGCTTCCCCTCACATATTGACGTCTTCATAATCCAGTCAACCACCATAAAGAAGACAAAGTACGGACGTAGGTGACCTTGTGTGACACCGATCTTCACTTAAGACTGAAAGCAAGGAGGGAGATAATTAATAATTACAGTGTTAAGTTAAGTATGAGAAACGTTCAAAATACTCAATGAAATAGAAAAAATGGTATGTATAACTTATAAATATCAACCTTTTGGGGGATAGTAAGCACTAATACAATTTAAACCATGAATGGATCAATGTTAGATCACCATTAGAAACCTGGAAGTACTGGACGGCCGTTTCGTCCTGATATGGGACTCATCAGCAGTGCGCATTCATGACTCCTGCGCCTTGCAGGATTTAAACCCTAGGACCTTCGTACTTGCTCGCGAACGTCTAGCCTCTTGATCTAAGTTAGACATAAACTCCGTTAGATTTCGTCCCAGTGGTCCAGAGGTTAGCGGTTCGCGCACAAGACCAAGGGTCTTGGGTTCGAATCCTGCGCGGTACTGGAGTCTTGGATTCGCACTGCTAATGATTCTCATACCAGGACGAAACGGCCGTACAGTGCTTCCAGGTTTTTAATGGTGGCTTAACATTGATCGATTCATGATTTCAATAAATAACTCAACAATCTCCACAACTCGATAGTGCAATTAATACAACTGCGTCACTGTTATTAATCTTGTTCAACCGCTTATGGTACTAATTTTTGGTGAGTGAAGTATGTTAAGGGAGGCTTCACTTTCCACCTTCTAGTCAAAAGTAATGTGATTTAACTCTAATCAAAAATATCTAGTTCGGTGTATTTATCATGGTCCTTGCTAACTACAATTCTGTCTGTTACGAAAATTCAAATCTCACATTGCTTACTATGTGGTATTATTTCCAAGTATTTATGTGCATATGTAATGTGTTAAATAAATAGTCACCATTTGATTATTTAAGACTTAATTTATCCCTATTATACACAGGAGCTTGATCACATATTGGAATGAATTATGTCCAAATGATACCCCAGATAATAGATTATTTATTCCATTATGTGGCAAATCTGTTGACATGGAATGGCTCTATCAAAAGAAATCATGTCAAATTATTGGATGTGATTTAGCTGAAAATCCTTTACGTCAATTTGTCAATGATCATAAATCGTTAAATATGAAAGAAAGTCTGATTATTTTCAAAAATGGAGAAAATGTTATTATGTTTCATGTAAGTCGCACCATAATTCTGTTTCTTACTTTAGACTGACGATAATCGTTTACGGTTGTATTGTTGCAATATGTTTTCTATGGATAGGTAGGTTGTTTCTACTAGGTATAGTTTGCTTTTGTATGAAGTTAATTTATGATTGTTTCCGGTATAATAATGTATCACCGCTTAAAAATTCAACGAAAACTATGAAACACCACCATATATAAATGTTTTGTCTCAATGTAGTTACTGTTCAGCCTACTTGACAAGTGACATATTTTGGTTAGTAAGTCTGTCATCAATCCAAGCACTGGAAAATATACATAGGTGTTCATAGCTACTCTGTGATTACAGACCTACATGTCTTACTATGTCTAATCGGCATATAACTCTCGTCTTGAGTTCTATGCGTAAAAGCATTCAATGTCGTATAATAAATTTGGTTTAAGAGAGTCTATGAAAGTAAAATGACGAACATAACAATAAGTTTATTGTCTAACGATGAACCACTCATAAAGGAAAACTTTAAATGTCTATGATCATACTTTTTTGTGCTGAATAATTATAATTATACTCTTAGTATGTTTGTATATATCAGTGTTATTTTGTACCTGAATTATTTAGTGCTCCTGAAGAACCATATAATTTAATATGGGACCGTGGATCATTTGTGGCTCTTGATCCTAATTTGAGGCCAAAGTAAGTAAAATTTTAAGACCATAAGGTTGTTATCTTAAAAAAAATGATTAGTTTAAAGCTAGTCAGATCATAGCTGAAAATAAGAAAACTCCAGTCGATTAACTCAAACTTAGTGGTTTATCATAACTTTGAAATTCTTGGTGGTTTATCGATGATTTAGTGGTTAGAACATTCGGTTTCTTTGCTTTAAAAACTGTTGTTTCTACTTCTATTATGGTATTTACTGAACCTTTCTACATAAAATGTGATTCTAAACCATTTAGCGCATTAACCTGTATATTATATTGTGAGATCATATTTCCTATTTAAACGTGACCTGACTTGTCATGGAAAGTTAGTGATTATGATATCCATCAAGCTTCTTATCAAATTTATTTGTAGTTTTATAAAATATAACCGTGGTTATTTGTATATCGAAGAAAGGTCTTTTAAATAGAGCTACCTTACCTTACTAGTTGTTTAAAAAGAAAATTAACCATATGTATTACAGTGAAATTATAATGTTTACATTATAGTTATGTAAAATTGGTCACAAATATAACTACCTCGAATGTCCGATGGTTACAGGAAACTTTGAATTATCCACCCGGTGTTCACAATACTGCTCCATGTAGTTCAACTGATGAAGAAATGAAATTATTGTATGGTAAGTTTAAAATATAATCTTAATCCATTAACCATTGATGTAAAAAAATGTTTGTTCAAATTAAGTTGTTCCATAGATTTGATTTTTTCATTTTCAGTAGTATGCTACTCAGTTTAAATGTTTGTAAATCATCTATTCTGGTCAGGGATATATCTACCTAGGTTGTTTGAAAAGATGTAATACAGTGGGAGTATTTCATTATAGAACGTATGATGCATACTGTAATTATCAGCATGTAAGCTTTTTATTAATGGCATCTAAAATAATGTTATTTTATTTTCATTTTTCACAGATTGTCTTATGAGATTTACTCTTAAAGAGTATTCAGATTTTTATTCACACTGCATAAGAGTTCACTATAATTACTCGTGATAATATCTGTTATTGGCATTTTATTCCAATTCATTCACTGTAGCCATGAGGGATCTTATTCTAATCTTAACTTTTTAGTCTCTATAATAGCCAAAATAATCTAGAGTTCAAAGTTGATATATGGATTAGCCTACCTTATTGCTTTTAGTTATAAGATTTCATTGTTCAAAATAAATTTACACCAACGATAATTTAATTTATGATTGTGATTACATTTATGAATAACTAAATAACACGAAAAAAACCTCAGTTTATAATTCAACAGTTTTATATTAAATAAATCACCAGCAGATCCTGTTACATTTATGACATGGATCTTCTGAATTTTTCATGACCGTTTTTTCTCTTTGTAAATTCTTCTCACTGGATTATGCTTCTTGGATAATATCTACGAACCTCTAATCTTTTCCATTACCGCTAATACTTCTACTACCTCTACTATTATGGGATTTGAATTGACAATCGCGTCTCTAAGCTAATATGGTATGGCAACTTGAACTGATGCACGTACGTACGTACGAAATTCTACGTTTTAGCTAACTGACTGATGACATGGATTGTTAATAATCTTTATTCTTGTTATGAGTGTATAGTGTCTGATACTGGCACGTAGTTAAATTTAATTTTTTGTAAAATGGTAATATTTTGAATTACCTTGCTTTATTGAAACTGGAAAATATTGGTTTTACAATTAAAATAGATTTGATTAGTTAAGGTCCATCATAAAGACAATTAGAAATGTTTATAATCTCTGCACAAAATTAGCGGAAACTAGATAAAACAAACGACCAATGTACAACAGCGTTTCAAAGAAGACGAAATTATGGGACTTTCAAGAGAGCTTTCATGTGTTGAAATGACAGTGAACTAAATAAGTATCACTGCATATATGGTATTTCGTATGATATCATAATTAGTCTTAATTACGTGGTTTTACTTCATAGTAATGATTACAGTAATAATTACTGTTGAGGTATCCCTAACACACCATAGTAAAACTGATTTAAGTTAGTCTTAACAATTCTGAATTTCATTATAATCGATATATCAGAACAAGCGTCGAAAAGAATAGTAACTCCCATAACTACTTATGGACTATTATCATTATTATTACCATATATTCTTATTGTATAGTTTGAGACGTTATCACTCAGCTGTTCGAGCCACAATTGACCTGTAGGACTATGATATATAAAAATGACTGATCTTCCAGTGTTGACCAGTATCATGATTTTCTAGGCTTAGACAGTTGTTGAATTACACTCGAGTTAGATCCAGAGTTTCCAGTTGACCACCTCCAACCACCTAACATTTAATATAGAGAGGCGGGATATCAAGTCACTTAGACTAGTGGTCACAATAACATTGTGAATAGAACTCTATGGGCGCTGAAGGACTGAAAAAAACATGCTTATGATCACTACTCAGTGAGTAATCAATTATAAGCATCCTTATACGAATATTTTCGTGCCTTAGTAATTTTATTGTTGTTAGTGTAATTGCTTGGTTGTAAATGTAACATTCGCTTTGTTGATTCAACAATAAAAAGGTATAACATTGTTAGTTGAAACGTTGGATCCCGAAAACGTAAGTAAATGAATCAGTTAGGTAATTGAAATTTACCTTTTTCCGAAGGTGATGATTGTTTACCCATCACTATTAACCAGTAATTCCCATCTAGTCTATTGATTTTTAGTACAATTTATATGTATATAACTTTCTTTCAGAACTAATCAATGTTGCGTGATCTCATCATCCTGTTTCATACTATTTTCAATATTCTTTTCAAAAAAAATCTAGATAAAGAATACAATATGAAAGTGTTACAATATGAAAACATCAAATTTCACATTTTCCCCAATGCAGAATATTGTTTTGTACGTTTATTGCTTTTGACTAAAAGGCAGTCCTGTCAGTAATAATATATATATGTTGTATATTTGGTAATCAGACAATCAACTGATCAATATTCTTTTCTCTCTCAAATTTTGGGGCAAAAGTATACAACGAATAGTTTTGGGCTCATATCATTCTCAAGATTAATAGTATAACGTTAATTTATTGATAATTCATCGGTATTTACCTGAACTCAAATTGAGAATTTATAGGACACTATTAATCCTACACTCACTAATCATCTATAAAGTATTTATTTATCGATCGTTATTTTATTTGATGATTAATTGTAATAAAACGGATTTTTTTTTCAAGTAGTTAATTATTTTTATTGATTTTTGTTGGATTTTCCCCGATATATTGTGAGTCTATGACTTGTCTTTAAAGTTATCTGACCTACAGACTTCGAAACCTTTGGACACTCAATTAGATGTTTGACACTTGACTTAAAGGTTACTTATGTGACTAGTATTAGCTTATTGTATAAATTTTGTCTTATTGCAGATTAAGGAAGCGGTGTTAGAAATATTCTCAGGCAAAATTCAACTCAAACCTTCTGGTGTTGTTCAAAAAATAGCTCAACTGTACT